TAAAATGTATTTGTACACTTTGATTTAGATGTGTGCACGCAAATGTTTTCAGAGTTGGAAAATGATGTTACTTTTTATTTGATGGTTTTACCACATGGCATTTAGAGTTATTAAATGTAAACTTTTTTTGAAAAATGTATAACTTTTTTTGAAAACAACAGAGTGCTTCTGTAAGAATTTGAAAAATTGAGTATTTTAAAATTGATAAAAAAAAAATTAAAAAAAAAGTTCCTTTGTCATTGACCCCTTATCTACACCAGGGATGGTCAACGATGATGTTTCCTTACATTTAAATCAATATCTATTAATATCTATATCTTTGTCTCTTTTTATCTCATCTCATCTCGTCTCCTCTTCTGAGTGTGTATCCCCCTCTCTGTGCAGCAGGGAGCAGCAGTGCATTCCTGCAGGCGTTTTAAAGTGTTTCCCCTTTTACTTTTTCTCCATACCTCCCTGTATTTCTACTTCATGGTATACATGGTCCTTTAGTGCGTTACTGTGTGCGTTTGCATCTTTAAACATTGAGTTTTTGCTCATGTGTGTGTATTCAGGTGTGTGTATTCAGGGAGGAGGTGTACGTGTGTGTTGATGTATGAGAACAGACTCTGCTGTTTAAATGTCAAGGACAGCATTTGAATGCACAGAGATGAGAAGTAGAGAACTGATATTTTTAGTTTCTTTCTACGAGTCCTCACAATTCTCACTCGTGCTGTCTCTCGCAGTTAAAGCTTTGACATGTAGTGTGTTAAGAACATGTGCAGTAGACTGATAAGAGTAAGCAGGAGGTCTCTCTCGTTCTCTCTCACTCTTTCGTTTGTGCATCTCTTGCACATGGTCCTGCTGTTATCAGAAGAGTCCATCAATTTTATGGTGTTCCAAAGTGTTTTCTCCATCGAGAGAGAGAGGAGGAGAGAGAGGTATCTGATGTTCTGATGAACCTGTCTTTCTGCATGCATTGTTCACAGTTTATTATTTAATGCTAAATACACAGCACATATTTTTTCTATCCTTAAAACATGCTTTATTGCGTTTACATAAATTTTGATTAATTGCAGTTGAAAAGCCTGTTTCTTCTGTTTATTTGGTTCTACTGAGTTGACTGGAACTGTTACGTCATCGCAATGGCGTCAGATTGCATCAGCATTTTTGGAAAATTACACCGGACTGCTCAAGCTTCCCAAGACCCAACAAACACTGAATAAACAGGTTGAGTTAAAAAATGATTTTTGGGGCAATGTGAACTAGCTGTAAGGATTGTTCACAACAAGATGAATATTTAGTGTGAAAATTTGGTGCGATAAACATTTTAAATATGAATTAACGGCTGTTAATGAATCTGTTTAGACCCACACAAACATTTGCATGCTGTTAATGCAACAGAGTTCTAATCTTTCTTTTCCATTGAACTGCAAAAAAACCCCCTTGCCAACCAGTAATATTTGCATTAAAAATTGACAGAATTTTCATGCTGAACATTTGTGTTGGTGTGAACAAGCCTGTAAAGAATTTAATGATTCTGTTTATGATTCTGTTTTTCACTTCTGGCACCTTAATGATTATTATTTATTCTTTTAGTAGCCTGTTTTCTTTTGTTAGTGTTGTTGATGACTTGTGGCTCAGTGAGTAAGTCAAGAACTGATTCACACAGTGATTGATTCATTGAACTGATTCAAATCAGTAACTCATACACTTGAGCCTTTTTAATGGCTTATAAGAGTCATTTGATTCATGATTCAGACCACAGGCTCTTCTGAATAAGAACAAGTGTCCATCCATCCATGTCATCCTTCACCTTTATCAGTTATTCCAAGTCTTTCTGTGTTCTACTTTTTTCTCTTCTTATGTTGTCATTTTTTTTTGCTCTGAATTTTGACATGGGTGTAAAATCGAAGAAGCATTTCATAGAAAACATCAATGTAAACTTGATTCCTTCTATCATGCTGCTGACTGGGAAGGGTGGGGGGGACAATCAATTAATCTGATCAAGTGCTTCAGGAAATAGAGAGGGTAAGCGATCTCATCCATTCAATCCCCTGATTGAATTATGTCAGGAGGAGGGGGAGGAGAAGACCTGTATGCGTAAGTGTGTGTCAGTGTGCATAACACTGCAGACACAGCGCTGAGGT